ACATGGCGGTGTAAAATGTTCCTAAGAGCTGGCCGGTAAAAACGTAGCCAGATGGACGTGAGAGAAGAGACTATCGTCTTCTCCTTCTTCTCTTTTGCTTCTTCTTCTTTTTTTTTCTTCTTTTTTACTTCTTATAACCAAGCATCCCGAACTGGTCATACAAGTTGCTCCAGGCTGACGTCACAGATTCTACCTAGAAGAGTGGGATTCCGATCAGTCTCTCTCTCTGTTTCTGGTCTCGCGACTAAGTCTTTTCTCTCTCCAAGTGCTTCGCTCCGTCTTCTTTCAATGTATACAGATACCACGAGCACCTCACCGACGACAGTGGGGAATTGCGTATTCCGCTGCACACCAGGCTGCACAATGCAGTTGGCTCCGTCTTACGTGATGCCTTACGATCTCTTTCTGTTTCGTTATTTTTAAATGATGACAGCTTGTACTCTCGATACATCTGTCACTATGAAAACCATCGCGAATTCTTACTTTTCTCGCTTCACAGTGAGTCTTCTTATTCTTCTGGAGTTCTATCGTTTCTCCACAAACTATGATAATTGCGTCGACAAAGATGCCTTCAATGCGAATTTCTCGGATCGTTAGAAACTGTTGAGCTATTTAAATGGAAAATTTAACTGGACGGACAGAGAGTTAGTTGAGAATGAGTAGAACTATCCAATTTTCTGTTCAACTTTCAAATCTGGTACTTGAGCGCTTCACAGGCGCATAGAATACTCTCCTCTCTGAACAGTATGTTCAAAGATATCGCGTAAACTCAATTAAACTAACTTCGTTCTGTGGCTTTAATGCATCAATTAATATCAAGTAATATAATCATGGCAGAAAGAGACTTTAGTGTATTTTATGAACTTGTTCTCATGCAAATTTTCTTATCGCGCGGGTTTTCCGCAGTTTAATCAATATAATGTTTTCCCACCCGAATTAAATCGGAATTGCTCTTGTTGCGATGCATCTAATTGAATAGACGCTGAGTACTTCCGACGAGCCGATTAAAACAGCGCCTAAAGCATGAACAGGTTAATCTCTTCTATTTATTTTTTTTTTTTTTTTGGTACTTTCTTGCTGTAAGCGCTTTCGTCCACCGTGTATGTGAGAATCTCATAGGCGATGTTAGCTTGCAATAGAAGTTTTCCCGTGGAGAAACATTTGTCGTAAAGTGTATAATACGATTATCCTCAAGCTCGTTTAGTGTACGCCAACTAATGGAGCGGCGGAGCGCGTCTGTACGATACGAGTTCCCACGTTTTTCCGTTAGTGCCGTCGCCGTCACGCTCAGCTACTTCCGGTGACCCCACCGGAACTTGAAAGTACGTTTGACGTTTGACGTACACAGAATTCAGCTGTTCCGTGGACCACTTCCGAAAAATTCACTCATCACTTGTTTCCATTGAAGACAAAATTTGTCTAATGAAGCGTATCACACAGCACGAGAAAATTTAATAATTCACAATAACGAAGGAAAAATTAAAACATTTGTAAAAAGAAGAACATTTGTGCTTAAAAAGCATTCGATAATTTAGATAGGAAAGATTTGTTAAGTAATCCAACGGGCGATGACAGTACGTTGGCTTTCAAATAAAGACTCAACGTTTTCACAAGCTGATGAACACGCCATCTGTACGAGAACTCATAGGTAACACAGGTAGATGATTCAACGATGCTTTATAACTTGATGGAAAACTTGAAGCACAACGAGGACTTGTCAGTAAAATTCAAATGTGGAAGGAGTATATCGTCGTGCCGTTGCACGGAAAACTACGCGACGTAACATTGCAGACTTTCACTAGACGGTATCCGGTACGAGCACCGAGAAAAGTTTATTCGAGAGTACACTCTCGGGCACAACCCAGTTTGCCGATGGATATACGACAACCCCCCCTGAGAGACTCTGAACGCGTATGCCGAGGGTCTCACAGGCCCAGCTCGCTTTATCCCACTCTGCCGTTTCCCAGGGACAGATATATAACTTTATAAGACCCTTTCTTCAAAACGATTGTGTCATAATATCTCCCTTTTTTATAATCACTTAGCGAAATTTTTGCAAAAATATTGCGCAACGAAGCTCTTAATTAATACAGACTTGTATAGTTCTTTATATGAAAGCTTGCATTTCTTTTTCAGATTTTTTCAGTAGAAGTTTTTATATTTCTTATAATTTACAAAAATGCATCTCTAAATAACAAATTTTTTTACTTTTTAATTTGTAAATAATAATAATTTAGAATTTTATAGAAGAATTTTTTTATAGAAGTATTTAATTATATGTGTTGCATTTTCTAGATAATGAAACTAAAATTGATTGACTAAATTTGATTAAAAGTTTTATATTTTTTGTAAATGTTTTAGACAGCATCTTATAATGTTTAGTAGCGTTTTATATGTCAGGAACGTATATAGCATAAGCAAACCCCGCCTAAGAACTGAACAAAAGTCAATCCCTCCTCTTCTCTCTAACGTGAATGCTTTAGCTTGACTCAGACCCACGTTGCTTCATTTTCCCTACCTTGCTGATCTCAGGAATATAGCTAGCTTTAACAGTACCCCGACCATTGACTTCCGTTCGAGGTTCAATCACGTAAAACCGGTTTTTCGCGTGAATACATCTTTCGAGGGCAAACTCGGCTCGCGAGCTGGGTCGGAGAAATTTACGTCGATGCTGGCGATCCAGAAGTCGATGCTGCGATCTTGCAGTCGACGTTAGATTACCGAGACGGTGATGGAGAGTTCGCGTCCGGTCAATTCAAAAGCAAAGAGCCGGGGTGGATATTTCGAAGTTTACGGCGATGAGAAGAGCAGCTGCCGTGGCAAATGCTCGTACATCTGCTGAGAAAGGTTTACTGAGGAGTTCACCGCGTCTCTCCGCTCGGAGAGTAGAAATCTCTCTTTTTGTTTCGGACAGCTTGATGAAAAATATCAAAAAATTACGATTTGCTACAAACTTGTTGAAGAGATTAATTATCTCTCATTTTTTATGATAGATCTCTTTTGCTATGCAGATTCTAATTAGAACATAAAAGGTTAAAAATATGAAGCAATTTGCAAAGTATAAAAACATAATTACAATTAATGGCAATTTAATCTTACCTTTCGAAATCAAACAATTGACAAACTTCAATGTTATAGATAGTAGAAAACAACAAACACAACATGTTGATAATGATATCTCCGATCCAGTAATTAGAAAAATCTATTAATTTTTCTAGGATTTAATCAACATATCGATCAACATATGTCAACGCTAGAATATTTAAAAACTTATCTTATTTTTATCAGCTTCTTGTTAAGTTTAAATAAACTTCTAATAAATTACAAGCATCTTAAGCTTTAATTAATCAGGCTTTAGATTACACTTAACGGAACTAAAAGTTTTCAATGACGTGCGACCTCGCCTTTTCTTGAAGCAGCTGCGGTATGTAGATTTACTTTCCGCGTTTAAGGGCGTATAACGAAAATGACGAAAGAAATCCAACATCTGCCTTTGCTCTCCTACATTCTCGGTACTTCCCGGTTTAAAAAACCAAACACAGGCATTAAAGGCAGGAAACTGATTCTCGAGACTTTTAAAATTTAATGAGTATGCGATTAAATACACTGGATTTTGTTAATTCTATATTGTTGTTCAATTAATTTTAAGGAATAACTTTATTAAAAATGCTAACGGTTGCAATTTTATTGTAACATGTAATAAGCATAAAAAAACAAAATCGGAGAAGATGGATTCAATTATAATAATTTGTCGTATTATTATTTTTTTAACTCAGCAAACAATTTTATTGTTACAAAAATATGAAGCTTCTGCTATTTAAACAGCTCACGATCATGTTTACATTTTGAAAAATCGCGTTCTGATTACATTCATGAAGAATCACATAAAATATAAATGCAAAACTTCACTTTTTTCAAAAAATAATTTTCTTTATAAAATTAAATGTCCTGTCTTTTATATTTATTTCAACTTGACACGTGTGCTTGTAGTATGGCAAATGAAGCGTCGATATCACTATTTTAAGACACCGTGATCATGGCCTTGCCTCTTATTCCTGCGTGCAATAGAAATCTCCGCGGTTGCTTCAGAGAAGGTCGTGAGTCACAATCGTGCGTCGCCCAGCTGCGACTATTTCGGTCGAACTTTTTTCACATTACGCAGTATTAACGTACGTACAGTTTTCACAATACGTGACGGACACGCATATTCAGAATGCCGGTGCGTTATGTGTGAACACAGGTGTAAAGAGTAACGTATGTGATAGGTGCACTTGCGTCTCGCAATCGAAGGGCAACTCCCAACATCCTTCCATGAAACATGTAACTGCGGTTACAGTGGCATAGGCTATTTTAATGTCATTTTCCTGGTAGCATTCTTTATGGTCATGTGAACCTTTGGGCTTTCAATTCCCCTTTGAATAAAAATAACAAAAATAATATTTAATATCGATATTGGAAAACAACTTCTGATTATTGATATGTCATGTTTATTTTATTGAAAATAATTCAATAATTTCAAACAAGTTATATGACTACAAAAAAAATTTAAAAGCTTTTAAAATGTTCGGGGCAATATAGAAACTTTTAACATGTTTTAAACTTTAAAAATATTAGAAATTATTGGCTTTTAATGTACGTTTATTGACATCAGGTATCGTCTGATCATAAATTCCTTCCTCCGACAGAGGAAACTTTGAAGAACATAAACTTTCTAATATTTTTGAACTAGTAAAACTTAAAATTTACCTCTGAGACGTTTCCTGGCACATATTCCATTATTAAACTCGTTATAATAATAATAATATTTGAATTATTACATATATGAATTTAGGGAGCATAACGAAGATATTGTCAGACTAAGTGTTTTCATTTACAAATTATAACTATACGAGCTCGAAATACTCGTTCGACACAAGTTATGGCGTTTGCAGGTATGAGAATGACGTCGGTAATAACCGGTTTCAAAGGTATAACATACTATTGCAAAATCTGTCTACCGCCGTGTCAACAGACGGGTACTTGCATTTCATGCAAGAGTGCATTGTGTCGCTTCAACCGTTAGTTTGCAACCAGATAAATTCATATTGCAACGAGTAGCTCTCTGTGAATGTGATTTTCAATAATTTTACACTTGATAAAACAATAATAAATTAATAATATTCTTTTATTAAAAAATAAGGATAAATAATATTGTCTGTCAATTCCATGTGTTATATATAAAATTTGACGTAAGACGGCCACCACCCGCAAAGACAGACCAAACTTCGTCGCTCCACTGCAACGGGACTTTACCTGACGTAAGCAGAAATTGTCAGAATCTGCTAAAATCGCCGAACAGTTTCGCATGCGAAGGTCAAATAAAGACAGAAAAAGAGCAAGAGTTCGCTACTTATTTTCGAGATTTTATAATATTAATAATAATATAATAAATTTACAAAAGTATTACATAGTGTCTCGAATTATCATGAAATCTATCTTTAATTGTTTAATTAATTGATAAATATAATTATAAATAAAATTCTTTTTTAATAAATAGCACGCTATCTTTTAATACTTTTAAAATATACGACTGCAAAAATGTCTATTGTGGAAATATATTATTATTTAAATATTAATAAATTTGTTGAAATCATTAACGCGTATTTTAACGACTTTTAATTAATACCGCGCATATATTTACAGTTTGGGCATTTTTCCGTTTTAATGTATTCTATATAGGTGTCCTATATAGAATGTACTTCTTTGAATTCTCTCTCGCACGTGTGTTCACAGACGCGCCATATGGCTACGACAAAACCACATGCCGGTATATTCCCATGCATATCGTACTGGCAGGTACCGACGATGGCATGTGTTTCAATGCATATATGCTTCATTGCTGGAAAATTTCAGGCGTAATTATCGTATTTCGGTAATTAAGCAAAACACACATGCAAATTCTAATGTGGATTTGTAAACGTTTTTTTTACAAATAACATTACGAAGATAATTTAAAGTTTAAATACTTTTATATTTGTATGCGTAAAAAATAGAATTCCCAAATTTGTCCAATGATTAGGAAAAAATCTCAACAACTATTTTCTTTTTGTAAATATAACTAATTATAGATTATATAATTATATAAATTTATGATTAAACAAAATTAATTCCTTCAACAATGAGAATTTCTTTGTGCAGATATTAGATTGAGACCTATTTTTATTGTTAAATTGTGATATGTAAATTTTTTTAATCCCAACTTTTATATTTTATCACAAATTTTTTAAGGTGTATTAAAGACTTAAAAATTCTAAAACTCTTCGGAAAAAAACCAAAATTCTATTATTTATGTCAAAATTAAAAAGATGGGATGCTATTTTCACAAAGATATGTGTATATAATCGTATATATGCAAAATCCAATTAATATATCAAAGCGAAATTGATGGCGTAAAACACCAGTATGATGTACATTAGTAGGTGTCCCGTGAGTCGCGTTCTCAATTAAAATTTATCCGTTATCCATTGATATACACATAATTGTGCCAATGGCACAATTATTTCATCAAATGCTCGATACTATAACGTGTTTGCTAACTATGATGAAGGAATCGCGTTTGCTTTATGTAATGCAATTTTAGCAAGTCAGGTTGAAGAATTAAATCGTAATCGATGTAGCATCAATGCAATAATACTACGTGTATTAAGCGATATCTAGTAGAGATCTTCACTTTATAAATAGCTACAATCATGTGCGCTTACATGCATTTACAGCAATGGAATTTTTAAAATAACATTTTCTAAAATGTTTTATATTACTTATTTATTTTCCGTGATTTATTATTAAAAGTATTATTTCTACTAAACAGAGATAATTAATAGTTTCCATAACTGTACTAATTACACAAGACTAGTGTCAATGCTTAATGAATGCGTTGAGGTATAATTATGTTGCACTTTAATAAAAAAGTAGTTGCTGTTGCGATTGAAAATTAGAAAAACATCTTATCCGTGTTAATAATACTCAGTAAGTTATACAACGGATTAACGAGACCTCATTCATTTTACCTTGTGATTGCCTTTGTTTTGAGTATGATTGTATGGTCGGTTAAGAAATTGCGCGCTAATGAGCACTTTCTTTCTACCGTTATTCACTTCTTACTGCAAATTAACAGCGACTCAGCAAATTAAGCATGACGCAAACACAATCTTCCAAGCATTGTCCTATGGGAAGTCATTTTGAACGGACAGGGTATTTCCGTGGGAATTGACGATTCTCGAAACCGATCGATGGTCTTGATATTGATTATTACAGAAGACGTCGAAGGTGACGCACACACACACACAAGTGAGTAATCTCTATGTTTTTTTTTCACATCTTAAACGTATCATTTAACTGTCGCCGCGAAATGAAATGCAGAAGAAGGTAGAGGACCTGTCATGGGAATTCTGAGTCAAGGCTCCATGACCACCCCTTCCCCTTGGTATGCGTCGTTCACACAATAAGTGCTGCGCAACAATAGAGCCGTGAAGAACGTTGTTGGTTGTACACGAATAGATGAGCATACGACGTATACGAGTGCTTAATCGCAACGTGAAATCGGGTTATGGTAATTAACGAAGCATAACGTTTCGTCATTGGCCTCCTGCGCGTCGTTAAACATTGATTAGATCAGACAAACCGATTCTAAAGTTCATTCAATAAGCAATTGTTTTGTGGATATCGATGGTCGACAGGATAATGGATAGGTAGTACGACGAATGAGTGAGGAGAACTCGAAGTGAATTTTATATGACACATATATGACGATATAATTTTATTGAAAGTTGAACTTTACGCCAATTTAATCAATCCATCAATAATCAATCCATCAATCAATCAATAAATAGGTGATAAAATTTTAGATTAGCAAGCATTTCTAATTTTATTAAGTATTATTAAAGTGAATATTTCTATATATAATATTAATCTTAAAATATTAATTGTATGATCTCTCATAACGCAATTTTTTCAATGTTTTAAAACATAAAATGTTTAGTGGAGGGAATGTAATATTCTATAATATAACGTAAAGTACTTATGCAGTATAATCTAGAAATGAAGGAAATCAATACATTAAGAATCCTTGAATGAATTTGAAATCGATTTCTCTTTAATTCAACAAGTGTAGGTCATTATTTGTTGCAAGCATTAATCTTTCAATGTATATGATATATTTTAGTATAACATATCTTAATAATTTGGTATATACACCTGCTGTTCGTAAAGAATGCTTCATTACTTTTAACCCACCCTTATAACCGCATGGTCCTATAATTTCGTACTTACAAAGAGTATGAAACACAGAAAGCATATGTTATCGATATTCCAATATACCGGAAATGAATCAGAATGTAAGTGCAGATGTGTAGATTTCACTGCCTATTCTGTCATCACCTTATTATGTTAGAAATAAAAGATAATAAAACAATCTATTCTCATTATCAAAACATATGTAGGGAACGTGGAGGGAAGTAAGATAATTAGAGATAAAAACTTACCGAAAATTTTAGTTTATTCCAAGCCAAAAATTGACACTTTTCTCTGAAAAAAATATAAAAGATGTATATTAGATATGTAAAAAATATTATGTAACTACGTATTAACATTAAAAATCGCCTAATAGATAACGTTTAATCAATTATTAATTAATATTTGCAACTTTTTTCAAGGAAAAGAAATTTGTAACATACAAATCTATCTGATTTAAAATTATATGATATCGTAAGTTACGAAATAGTTCATCAATGTTGAGTTACGTATTCACTTAAACATTTGCCCTGAATGAGCGAGCTCAGGATTGCCGAGCAAAGATTTGAATAGTGAGGTCAGTGAGCGTGCGCCGAGCCGCTCGATCTGATCCGCTCACTCGGTACGTCAAAGTGAGCGTGTGATCGGTTCGTGCTCATTGTCAGTGTGAACAGATTTTTATTCACGATCCCGTTTGTTTGCGATCAGCACTCTAACTGTTCGAAAGAGGATCACGCGGATTGATGGCTCATGTGTAAAACCCTGTGTGAATCCAGGGAAACTAAATCAAAATGAACACTAATTCGCTCGTGTTGCACTCATGGGAGGCAAATGCTCAAATAAATATGCAGCTTTGTAATAAGCAATGAACAACCACTCACACAAATAAATATAAAATTATAATTATTTAAAAGAAATTATCTGCACATATAGTAGTATATATAATATCATATATATATTAATATCATAAAATGCCTTAATATTTAAAATTTTATCGTGTAGATATCTTCACATTGATATCATTTGAAAAGCTGCCGAAAAAAATTTAATTAGAAGGAATGCTTTTGCTTCATGTCTAAATGTATGCAAAGTAGTGTGAAGTTAACGGTCCTTTGAAGACAATGCTTTGTAACAAATGTTTAGTATTTTATCAAAACTTTATTGCATAGTTGATTTCATAGCGATAATACTAATTTATCGTCTTTATGAAATCTCACCTTGTCAGAAATTAAACTTAAAAACAAATCTTTGTCATCAAGACTTTGACAAAAGACAAGCCTTTGTTATTAAATCCTCACCACAAAGAATCCTAAATTGATATTGAAAAATGTGACTTATGTAAGTTGGAATAAAAGTTTACTTTATATGTAAGATGTCTTTATAGCTAAAAGTACATAAGAATTTCATTTCATAGATCTTGGGCAAGGTACTCTGCAGAAAATTTAAGTCATGTCTCCCGTGATATTTTCGGATGAGGGAAGAAAAATATATTCTCATCGAATTGACTTGGTACGCGACTCCCAGGCGAGAAGACTCGTCGCCGATTCGTTACAAAGGAATCCCCGAGCTACTTGAACGTCCACGCGCCCCATAAAAATGTGCACGGCACTTTATATCGAGCGAGACCGTTCCCACGACATCCCCCGTGCACCTCTCCTATGGGAATATTTTATAGGGGTGAATTTATATGTGCGGCGCTACGCGTGCGTATGCGTGTATACATGTGCCACATATGCGTGTGTTGCGAGGCTAGTTTTAACGGCAATCAACGTGCTTGCACTTTCATCGGTGATGTACCGCTCTCAATAACGCATCTCGTTTTCAATTTTATTCGACTAATTAAATATATCAAAGTTGGAATTAAAATTGAATATTGGAATGCAAAAATTAATTAGAGCTTATTTTTTTCCAATATAAGTTATTCGTTATCTGGTAATTTATATCTTACACATTTCTTATATATATTTTTCGTAATCCTAAAATTATCACATTATGCAAATTTTATCAGAGTTTTAATGTATGACGTTCGCAGAATCATGCAATCTACAAACATTTTTGTGATAATGAATTTCACTCGTCATTATAATTTTTTACCTAAGCTGATTAAAACAATCATATATTGATACAACTGCTTATAATCTAGATAACTTATATTTGCATATCTCAGACGTTACACGTCTGTTATATAAACCCGAATTTTACTTTGAAGAAATATTGTCGTGGAAGTTGTGTAAAGAAGCACGCGAAATAAGACGAATAATGTTGAAATCCGCAATCATAATTACAATTCTGGCTTTCGTAAGTATTATTTTAAAAATCAAGTTTATTTACTTTTAAAAAATTTTTATTCTATTATTTTTTTAAGTTAGAAATATATGTAAATTATAATTCTATCTTTATTAATTTTCACAATATTGTACTTTTCAATTTTATTACAGGCCGATTTTCAGGCGAAAGTAAATGCAGCCGCAACATTAACGAATGAAAATTTAAAAGATCAGTTGTCGTTCACGATATTAGAAGCAAAAAATCGTGCATTCGACCAGGTACAAAGTATTAAAGTGTTAGCTTCTGTTAATTTCGATAACTTTATTGTACGTACAAATGAAATGGTGCAAAAGGTAAGTTTTGAACAATATCAATAAATAATTTTTTTAATTAAAATTTTATTTTGGATTAATAATGCAATGTTATAATATTAAACTTAGGTACAAGAAAACGTAAAATTACAATTGACATTTTATAAAATGTTGATTTCTTAAAATATTCATGTTTGCAGTCCTCAAATGATATGAAAATATTGAGAGAAGAATTTAACGAAGCAAACGATACCTCTTGCAACAAAGCGCAGGCTGATATAGATGATGCTGCTTTAAAAACTATTGCACATTATCAGACGTGTGTAGAAAAAGTGACTTATTATGCTGAAGCAGACCTGAATTCTTTAGCCTTTGACGGAAGCCTCTTAACGAAGGAAATTGAATACGCTAAGGTAAGTGCATCTCTAAGAGATTCATATTTATTTTAATTAAAATTTTTTATTAGTAAAATAATAATATTCTATATTGTTACATTAAAAATGAGACAATAAAAAAGATCATAAATATAATGAGATGATATTTTAATTCATGTCAAACGATATATTATACTATACGGTTCTTTTAAATTTTGTATTACTGCAACTTATTATTAAATGATACTTATTATTAAATAATAAAGTTTTAATATAACTAAACAATTAGATTTAGATACATTTATAGAAATTGCATGGTTCATTGTATTGTAGAATGTCGATGAGGAATTGTATCGTAAAGTTACTGATTTGGACGCAAGATCTTTCCAATTCGGCAAATATCTGCAAAGATTGGAAAAATGTGATACTCAATCAAATTTGCCACGACTTAAGCGACAAATTTCCGAAGCTTTGACCAGTTACAAACAGTGTCTTCAGAATAAATAAATAATCAGCAAAAAATGGCTCTTTAACAAAAAATGTCCATTTACTTTAAAATAATCTTTAATTTCAATAAAGATGCACTTTAAAACTTATTATATTTGGTGGCCAGTAAAAGTACAATAATTATTCATTTTTAGATGAAAACTATAAATAATTAATTATATATAAATATTGCATTAAAATTATTGCATGAATCAAGAATGGTAAATATTAATTATTTTTCGGTATTATATGCATTGTTATTTTAAGCTATTTTTATTGCATTATCTTACGCAATCGCTCTGTGACTGTCTATGGTTTATCTACATTCAATCACCAATGAAAATAAACGTAATATATATTTCTCTAATATCTATGTTATTTATTTAATATCTTTACTTTAATATTTTTACTTTTATACAAAAAATATCAACTCCATATAATATTTAAAATATAATATTTATACAAAAAGTACATTTAAGTACATGCGTAAAATTAATAATTAAGAGAATTTCATTAGGAAGTATGAAAAAAAATATGTAGACTAAAAATATGAGAAAAAACACAGATCAATAAAATAAAAAATCGATGAAAGAATGAGATTGAAAATGTGAAAGAGTGAACAGCTCTTTATGCATAATGAAACAAAATGATACTCATCAGTTCAATCAGAAAAAAAATATATTGACACGTATTCAACTCCATAAAAACACTTTGCACTGAAATTTCCAATATCGCAAAATAATGTTACACCGTTTCGAAGCATTCTATTGATATTACAAGTGATTTATATACTATCATTATGCTTCATTATTTTAAAAATAAGCTTGAAATAGCTTTAAGCAATTTTTTTATATTAATTTTTAGAATTATCGAGGCTTTAATTTAACAATTACAAAATTTTCAGATTTTTTTATTTCTTTATTTCGAAATCTAGATAATAAATATATGGTAAAAGATAAAATGTTAAAAATTCTAATGTAGCTTCTAAGAATAAATATGAATAAATAAAATAACAATAAAGTCGTAAACTATTATGTTTTAAAAAAGTTATATCTCTTCGTTCTAGAACAGAAAAGCATATAGAAGACAACAACGTATCGATTTTGTAGAAAAGTATTCTCTTGTGTGTGTTAAAGTCGAGAATGTTAAGATGAGAAAACGGCAGCAAAGGAATCACTTGAATTTTATTCTATTTTCTATCGTTTCTCTACGATTCCGGACAATATTGCAGCTCTCCTCTTAGGATCAATAGGTGTTATATAGAATTTGTCGGTAGGTATATGAAGAAAAAATTGTATATCACAAGGTATTATTTAGATCTATTTAGATCAAAATTATAAAATTAGCATGTAAACTAAGAAAATGTAATTATATTTATAACATAATAATATTTAAGATATCATACGTATTTATCTGACGAAATTATTAAGCGCGTAATGTTTTTCAAAAAATTTTATTCGAAAATTTTTAAAAACTTATATACAATTATCATATAAGAATACACGCTGTTGCAGTATATTAGTTTATTCATATGCAAGAAGGCAAGAATTTTAAACATATTCATATACCTAAAATTACTATAAATAAATTCGAACGATGTAATGAATGTATAGAGCAATATATCCCTGAAATGAATCGCAAAGTTCTTCCGAATAATGTATTTTGTTCGTTGCTATCATTTTTTACGCTCATTAGAGCAATTGCATACTGATATAAGCGTACAGAGTTTGACAAGTTAATTTGCATATCTTGACAATACGTCAGAAAGATTGGTGGTGGATATATTATATAAAGACGAGTTTTGACTGTTAAGAAGAAGTATTTTTTGTAGAAACTGCAGCGAGTAATAGAATTCGAACAACAATGTCAAAAATTGCCGCGATAAGTTGTATTATTCTAGCTGTTTCCGTAAGTATATCTCAATCTTTAAATTTATAAAACAATTTACACGTAACCGTTTGAAAATAAATAAAATACGCATGTTAAATATTTTTAATTTCTGATTAAAATTTTATTTAATATTTTTTTTTACAATTTATTTATATAAAAGTTAACAATAATTCTAATCTAAAAGAATGCTATATTTATGACGTATTTTGTTAATACACTTGTTTTATTATATTTGTTTATATTATATTATATTTGTTTTATTTTAGATCAACTTTGAAGGAATACAAGCTAACCTTCTTGGTAAACCGCTAGGTTCCTTACTAAATAATGTGCAAAAACAATGGCCGGGTGGGTTTCAAAATCCAATAACAAATGGAATTAAAAGTCTACAAAATATTGGAAACGATGCGTCCGATTTAGTTACCGAAAGAAACGAGGTAAATAGAGCAAATTGTATCATTAAACTATATTTCTTGATTATTTAATGTTTAATAATATATAGTTGTAACTCCATGTGCACAGGTAATTATTAATATAAATAAAATAATGTTTTTTATATATTAGGCACTTTTCTAAATTAAATTCGCGAAGGTAGATATTTGTTTTTTTATTTAATGACAATTTAAATTATATTTTTTGACTGTAATAGTTACATTTAATCTCCAATTTGGTTTTTATGTATTAAAAAAGTTGAAGTGGTAAAAATAGAAATATTACGGTAATATTTAATGATAAGTCGATGCTGATAAGCATAGATACTATAGGTAAATATTCTTTTAAAAATTTATGATGTGACAGCTGAACAATGAGAATGAAGGATTTGTAAAACAAGCTAGTATTTTAACGTGCGTCAAGTTGTACAATGAAGGACGTACGATTTTTACTAAATTGACATCGATTTTGAAATCTTGCTTATCAAGCGAAATACAAGCAGTCGATACTGAAATTCAAGTAGTAGTAAAATTGATAAGCGATCTGCAAAAGAATATAACAGAGAAAATACAAGAGATTCTAGCGCAACATTCCGGAAATATTGTCACTGCATTTCCGGATCTCTTTAAGGTAAGTGTTTTAAGTAATTTTTGTCATAATTTAAAAATTTTTTGTATATATTTTTCATTAAAAATATTGGAAACGCTTTTGCATTCTAAGAAATTAAAAATTTTGCTACAATTTATCGAATTATGAATGTCAGAAAAATTGTACCAAATTCCTAACGTACTTAGCACACGCATTTTTTTAGAAATTCCAGGAATTGTTCGGCGGTAAGCTAGGTTCCGCAATTGAGGATGTTCTTTCCAAGATACTTCATCTCCTTTCAACTTTATCGAATGTAGGGACATGTTTTGAAACATCATATGTTAAAGATGTCCAACCAGCTGTACGTACCTTTATCAATGACGCAAGAGAATGCTATCAAAGCATTCCGCGTTTGATAAAATATTGATGGATTAATGTAACAATTTATTATCATGCTGCATTATTATATTGTAAATTACCACTATGAGTTATGCGGTATGAAGCTTATACTTTTTTTGATGCTATGCATGCTTACCGATCTATGCAATTATTTACATATATTCCAGAATACGAAGCAAAGTATATAATAACATTGATAATATTGTCACGGCTGTTTATCTTTTAGTCAAAACTGAGAAATTAAATAAAGATGAAAATGTTACATAAATTATAAATAATTATACAAACATTAAAAACATTGTAAACTTATTAATCTTATTATATGCCTCACTATAATTTTAATAGATCCTTTTAGATTACATATTTACTTGTCAATAAAAGCAAACTTTTGTTTAAAAAATTATTGAACATAATAAATCGACATAAAAGATATATATATATCTAAGGTATAATAACTGTACATAAATTCAACAAATAGACTTTGAGCGTCTTAAATAAAAATGTCAGTTTTATGAAATAAGAAAGAGTAAAGAGTCATTAAGTAGTAAATAAATAAAAATATTTTTAAAAAAATACTACAGGGGTATTTGTGTGTGAGTATCATATGTATATAACGATACAAAATGGTCGGATGGGCGCGGCCCGACGACGGCGCGACATATAAAATCGCCGTTATGAGAAGCGACGAAGAAGCAATCAATGTCACCATTGAACCACAACGTTAGCATTGTTTCTGTTACAGAGAGCTACACAATAATCAGACGGTAAAAGAAACGTTGTCTGATCATGTTAACCATGTCCATTCTAATCAAAAGATGCTATTATATTGTTTCACCCTAAACCTGTTTCTTTTTTAAGCAATGATAAACCTTTTTTGAGCAATAATATTTTGTCATACTGTATTCATGAAAAATACTGCAAATGAACGATGGTAAAAGTATGCTGAAGCAGATGAATCATAGATCACTGCTCTTACATTACGTGATTACTCATCAGTAAGAGTGAGCAACTGTATTAATTATAATAATATTACTCACAGCGTATACAAAAAGCAGGAAGAATAAATTGCAAATGCGTCATAAAAATTAGTGACAGTGAGAAAGCCTGCACTATATCGCCGTGAAAGTGAAAAATGATCTTGAAATCGAACAAGTATGTATATGTATATGGCTAAAAATTAACGAACACACAACATAGATACAGGCAGACAGGAAGATAAAGTTGACATAGTAAAGCTTTTTGACCAACAAAAATCTTGCCTGTTATTATATGGCTGATGAAAAGATTTATTAAGAATGCTAATTTTGTTTACTGAAAATAATTCGATCAAATCTACAAATTATTTTGCTACAATAATAAATTATTTCTTATTTTATTATCACAAAATATTTTTGCTTGTATAAAGTTTGAAAATGTTTAACATTTTAAGTTTTCAAAACTTTGCAATTTTATGTTAATCAATATTTCATTTTTTACGATAATTAGCACCATTGATATTTACTAACTAATATTACTAAAAGAAGTAAAAATAAATTCAATCTTATAAGTATACAAAAAAAATTTTTTTTGCCGTAATTGTCGTTGTATACAAACGTCGTTACAAATAAATATCATCAGTTTTTATAAATATCATCAGTTTTTTGTTCACAGCATCGAAATCTAAACTTAGCAAAATTAACCCAGTTTTAATCCACCCCGGAAATGCCACCACAAATTATTCACCACTGACTTATATGCTGCGCTAAGAGTCTTTTCTTTATAAAGCACACGTATTGTGAATGCAGGCCATCTATTGATCGATAGTGCTACTATCCATGATACCAAAGGAAATGTTATTTAATTACTTACGGTAAGAAATCTTTTTAACAAATCTTTAATTATATAAGAAGTTTGAAATATTTATAGAACAACATTATGAAATAATTGCGAACAAACCGTTTGGTCAACAAAGTTACTGCAAGAACTGGCAACAAAGCAAGACGCGTGAATGAAGTTCAACAACCTTGTATTCGAGTCGTATCTTTATCACTACAACGCCTGACTATGATCAAACCTATCTGCACCGTGTCATAAGTAATGAACGGTTGCCTATAACATAGTGTACACACCTTGCATTGTCTGCTTATTAACGCCTTGTACACGTTGCAAATCTATCGCATAAAGAAATAACAAATTATTTCTTATTATAATATTAAAGCTTTCGCGTTTTTCTTTGTTATTTATATACTCACCAGCACAAAATTCGATCGAATTTTATACCGGTGAATATATTACAACATATCGAATTAAAATACTCTTTAATTATATCTTTTAATTCGGTACAACTTTAGTATTTTTTATTTAACAAAACTGTTAAATAAAATTGAGCTAAAAATTGTTAGATGTCTAAGATAATAAATCAAATAGGATCAATAAGAAGCATAAAGAGCCAAAATGCTAGGTTTACGTGCGAAGGTTATAATATATTCTTTAAAAGTATTTACAGACGTTTTGGCCTGCCATCAGGCCTTCTTCAATGTAACAATAAGTAAAAATAACTTATTGTTACTTGAAT